TTAAAAGACCGTAGCGCCCTTAGGGGACGTTAGTCGGCTTATGTTTATATAAACTTTTCTTCCTATTTTAAGCTCTAGAAACCGCTGGTAGAATATTGCACACTTTTTTCGGGACACCCTGTATATAGTTTTTTCACTGGCTACGTCACAACGCCTTACGAAATAAGTGAACAGATTGACTAACCGTACCATGTGCGGAGCTCAAGATCCCTGAGCCCAGGCCACACAATTTATTCAGAGAATGTTCCTCGAATGTTTCTCTTGGATCATTTTCCCTCAATCGTACAGGAATATATGCATTATGCAAGGAACATTCCAGGAAAGCAACATACACTGAGAAAGAAGTTTAATTAAACCCATTAGGTTTAATTAGTCTAATTAAACTCCGGTTTCTCAGATAGTTTGCTTGAATCTGTGAAACTAATTTAATTAAACAAAAAAACAACCTTTTAATTAAATGTATTAAGCCGTAAAATATTTTTGATATATACAGTTAGTATTGGATCAACGAATGTCAGGTGATAGAGGGAATCAAAACATATCGAATGAACCCCTATACATGTCTGATATTTTATAGTTCATGAGGTATTTGCAATTTTGTGAAATTTCGAAAAAAAGGCTTAGGGCTGTGATTTTTTTCTGAGATGAGCTAAATGGTTTGTTTTAGCAACGGTTATATCATTTTTAACAGAGCTTATTAGAAGTCAACGCAAAAAATCCTAAATTCATTTTTATGTGAAAAATTTATGTGAATTAAGGTTATACAGAGTGCGGCAGAGAGGATGGACGGTTTTAAAAAAATCATAAAATAGTTAATTTTTACTCGAAAACAAATTCATTGATGGAATCAGGTTCACAAGGAAATAGCATTTGAGTGAGACAGTCATGTGTGGAAAATCACATCAGGCATGTGGTGGCCGAAATCGTTGATGCAGTGCTGGAGGCGTTCTTGGAAGTTCGCGTAGACTCTCTCTCTCAACTTGGTTGACTTCCACGCGAATTTCGCCCTTTAATTCGTCCAGAGTTCGGGGCTTGTTCGCGTATACTCTAGCCTTGAGGTGTCCCCATAAGAAAAAATCGCATATGGATAAATCTGGGGACCGAGGAGGCCAATGATCATCGCCAAACCTGGAAATAAGGCGACCAGGGAAGAGAGGGCGAATAACGTCCATGGATGCTCGGGCTGTGTGGGCGGTCGCCCCATCCTGCTGGAACCACACACGTCGGATTGGAACACGTCGCCCTCGTAATTCAGGGAGAAAGAAGTTGGTGATCATGTCGACGTAGCGCACTGAGTTCACGGTAACATCACGACCATTACCGTCTTCGAAGAAGTAAGGGCCAATGATGCACGTTTGCGATACAGCGCGCCAAACCGTTACTTTTGGGCTGCGCAGCGGTCTTTCGTGTAACTGTTGCGGATTTTCATTAGCCCAATAACGACAATTCTGCTGGTTAACCATGCTGTTTAGGTGAAAGTGGGCTACGTCACTCATAAACAAAATGAGGTTCTCATTTTGATCGATCAGTGCTTCCATCTCGCGTGCGAAGTTCATTCGTTATGCATAATCTCCGGGCTGTAACTGTTGCACAATGGCCAATTTGTAGAGGTGAAAGCGGAGATCCATATGCAAAATTCGCTTTACCGAACGATCACTAAGGCGAAGTGCAGCAGCATGTTTCCGGGCAGATCGAGTCGGACTGCGAAGAAAGACCTGTCGAACGCGTTCAACATTTTCAGGGGTTCGAACTGTTCGCGGCGCTCGTCTTGGTCTTCTGTTGATCAGTTCACCACGCCTGCGAAGTGATTCAACCCAACGAGGGATGGTGTTTCGAGAGGGAACAGTTCTATTCCGATGAATGTTGAAGTGGCGACGAAACTCACGCTGTACGACGATGACTGTGGAATAAACCCTGAAAATTTCAGCTTGCTACTATAAGTGCCTCACCTTAAAAAATTGTATGTTTGACGCAGGTGGGTATCTATACATGTAAACAAGAAATCCTATTTAACGAGCTACAGTCCAAACGACTTGATGGATTTTGACATATAAGGTACTGTTAGATTCGTCCTAGCAGTGCGAGTTGTACTGTGTGTCTTATTGTAACTAGAATAAATAGTACCGTTGGCGCCATCTGTGAGGACCACGCCAGACTCTCCTACTCGCTAGCTGCTTCATGGCCGATCTCTGTTGAGGGCCGTGCCAGTGACTTGCCTTCTAGATCGACGCTAAGTGACCTGGAAGAGTCTAGACTGCCACTTTGTGGCTCGCCAGACTCTTCTCGAATCAGCGATGCGGACTGCATAGTTCGACGGCCGGGAGATGGAAGCACAGTAGAGTAGAGTAGAGCAGAGTGGAGTATAGTTCAGTCAATGGCGCGAGATAAGAATTAGTTAGACATAAATAGTGGTGTACATAAATGTTCTATCAAGTTAAATAAATTAGTGCATTTCTTTTTGTGGAATCAAGTGTTTTAATCCACACCCAAAACAACCCAGAAAAACGCTACTTTGGTGTCAGGCGTGGGGTGTGGATTATTGGACAGAATTAAAGGCGAGCTTGCCGCTTTAGACGTCAAGACCACCGACGAACGACAGCGTGGGAAAATCAAGCAATTTGATGGTACAACGCCTTGGAATGTCTACTGACGTCAGTTTGAAGCAGCCGCGAATACAAATGGTGGATCTTCAACCGAAAAGGCAACTGCAAGGAGATGCTGCAGCTATTCTTCAAAGAATATTACCCGAAGAGCAAGAAGTCTACGAACAGCTAATAGGTCATTTGGAGATGTGATACGGCCAGTCACATTTAGAACATGTCTACCATACACAACTAAAGAATCGGTTCCAGAAGTCAGTGCGAGTCGTTGCAAGAAAATTTGAACATGTGTGAAAGTGACGCTCAATTTTTGAATAACTTAATCACAGGTGACGAGTCGTGGATCTTTGAGTATGATCCCGAAACAAAGAGGCAATCTTCCGAACGGCACGCGACGGCGTCTCCTCGCCCAAAAAAGGGAAGAATGAGCAAATCCAAAGTGAAAACGATGCTCATTGTCTTTTTTGACATCAAAGGCATCGTCCACCATGAATTTGTTCCTCCTGGACAAACCGTCATCGCCAAGTTGTACGTGGAACTCCTCAGGAGACTCAAACGAAGGGTCAGATGTGCCCCCCCGGACTTTTTTTTGTTTCCTCGGCCGAAAAGGCCGATGAAGGGCAAGCATTTTGAGACGACAGAGGGGATCCAAGCGGCATGCACCGCGGCTCTCAAGGCTATTCCGGAGAATGCCTTCCGTGACGCCTTCAATGCTTGGAAATCGCGCTGGCAGCGCTGCATCGACGCAAAAGGAGCCTATTCTGAAAGTTTTTAAAGAATTGTAACGATTGGCTCAATAATTTTTTTCAAATCGACTCAATCCTACTACTTTCCGGACAAACCCTGTACTTCGTTGGCAGCATATTCAGTAATTATTTTCTCACTCAGCAACTATCACTGATTTTACAAATATGCAGGGTAATACCCATAGTCATCCAGATGCGATCTTGCTATTGAAGCAACTTTTTTCTCAAAGATAAAAAAAAACAGACCGCTCGGATTTACAACGCATATGCAACCAACAATGCGTGTAGTTCAGTTAAGTCATTATTCCATAGTTGGACGCTCACAACGATCCTAGTGAGCAAACGTGGAATGACTGTTTGTACCCTATAAACTACCTAGGCATGGTGGGATTTTTTAGGTTTTTTTATGACGATTTATAGGTTTTTTACATAATACCCGTGCCGGCATTACAAGCATTCCGCTTGATCACCATGTTTGATCCACTCCACAACTACTACACCAACAACGGTAACGTTCGAATATGAAATTCCTTGCGAAAATCACAAATCATACTGAGGAGTTCGGAGAGCGTCACCGGCACGGGTATAACGTATCTTGAAGAGTGGCATTATATCGATGTTTTTGGCACTACATTGGTTTTTTATGACATTATGTAAGTTTTTCTACAAGATGTTAACTTAGCACTAGCTGATGGACACGTTGTGAACTCGTTTTGTAGTTGAGCGTGTTGTCTAAATATCATGAGACTTCAGTTATCAATGTTTCGGTCTGACGTGATGTAAAAATCTGCTTCAGGGATGCCATTAATGGAGGTAACGGCAATGCATAGGTGCATAGTGAGGATTTTTGTGCTAATAAAATGTGTTCATGATAATTCCATTGGATTCTTGTCTCAAATACACTTACTTGAGATTCAAAGCTAGACATTAGTTGCGCATCCACTTTTTCTTATCCATTCTGGAGATTACATATGCAAATTTGCTGAATTTCAAAAATGAGTGAGATAAGAAGTAATTATATTCACTATACACTGTCGAATTACAAGTCATATACCTGCAAACAGTAATTACACACACGCGGGCGCGGTGGTAATTTCCCGTAATTCTTTTTGAAAACGCAACAGAACGTAGAAAATCGTAATTTATAACTTTGAACATAACCTATCTTCAGAAAGGACAACATATAAATAACCCATCGGGCACAGCTCATAGATATTCTTCAATGGCAGCATATTCTGTAATGATTTTCTCACACAGCAAATATCACTCATTTTATACACAATTATCCAGATGCGATCTTGCTATTCAGCCGACTTTCTTTTCAGAGATGAAAACTATAGACTACTCGCCTGCATAAAACATATACAACCAACAATGCTTGTAGTTGAGCTACTTCTCTATAGATGGACACTCACAACGATCCTAGTGAGCAAACGTGGAATGACTGTTAGCACCCTAAAAATTACCTAGTCTGCAAGACAGCATTTTATAGGTTTTCTTTTGACATTTGTAGGTTTTTTGCATAATACCCGCGCCGGTATTATGTACAAATTAAGTTATTAGCGGGGTCAATTTATATTGGGACACCCCGTACGATAAATTATTTTCGCTTAATTTCATGCAAGCTTAGGCAACACCGTAATGTGTAATCGTCTGTCAGTTGTCACTTATAACCTCTCCTCTCATGTCGTTTTTTTGTAGGGTGGTAACTGTCATTGGAAAACAAAAAGAGCCGAAAATTTTCTGCCAGAATGGAAAATATTATCTCAAAATTGCTTGTAGCTGATAGCAAGACAATACAAGAGGTAAATTTGTGTTTCAGTTTTGCAGGACCATTCTCGTATCACCTAACCTACAAATACACGTGTGCCTGACTAATCTTTTTTTAGGGAACGAAAGAGCTGAAGGAAGCCTTCAAGAAACCTGAAGCAATACCGGCGCTATGCGACGTTATCGTAACGTCACAAAACCCACAGATAAGGCAGTCGGCTGCTGTGTTACTAAGGCGAAAACTTGGAAAAAAGCGGCAATGGAGCAAAATAAACATAGACATCAGGACAAGGTACTGAACTGAAGACAAATTTTAATCTTGAAGCTGGATGGAGTAATTAAATGAAGTATCTTTCGAATGGTATTACCCAACAGCAGCTATGTGAAAAGTCGTAGTGTACTGTGCCTAGCCATAACTCCATATATGAAAGTTGCCAAGTTCAACATAAGGTTTATTGGATGCAAGTACCTCGGCCAAATTTCAGGAGCCCACAACCATTAAAATAAGTAATTTACAAAATTTGTTCATAATTTTGCTAAAACAACTTTTAAAAATTAACAATGATTCATTATACAGGGTGATTCACAAGTCATCACCAAAAATGATACATACACACGACTGCATTTTAAGAGTGTTGAAGTTTAAAAATAAGGTAATTCTTTAGCTTAACTAAAACAGCCGATTTTGATGAAAAAATGATTTTAGACCCTGGTTTTTGGGTGTAGATGGAAGAAATGGGCCTGGAAATGAGTGCAAACATAAAAGTTCTGAAATGTTTTACTAGATAGGTTTTTGTTGAATGTTTGTCTTCAAAGACTGTGTCATGTTGCCAGATTTCATGACTTAAAAGGTTTTCATGTTGATGGATATTCTTAATAATTAAATTTGTTACTATCGTGCCGCGACTCAAAGGGGATCAAATTCTAGATTAAAAGGAGAGCTGCTACGCATGGAAATGCGTATTTTCGTTAATTTTCATATATTTCTTCAATTTGGCAACATAGTGGGTATATACAGTATGGGACAAAAGTATATAGACAAATTAATATTGTGCTGTATTTCTTTTTTAACTTGTTTTATTAATACACCAACCTGTATACATAATTTGTTATAGCATAATACTCATACATAAATAAATTCATTAGACTCCCTTCAATAAAAAATTAATTGATTAAACTGGAACTATGATGGACAAAAATATATACACAAAGCAAAACAATTATAGAAAAAAGAAGCAGAGTTCATTGAATTATAGAAAACCAACCATGTTTGTGTTAATATTTTGTAGCATAACCATTATTTTCAATCACCGCCTGGCATCGTCTCTGCATAGATTGTAGATGTTTCTTGATAAAAGATTCTTCAATCTGTCTCCACTTTTGATCTAAAGCGGCAAAAAGTTCATCCTTGTTTGAATAATTTTTATCTCGTATTTGCTTATCTAAGTATTAACATAGATTTTCAATGGGGTTTATATCAGAAGACTGTGAAGGCGATTTGATAACTGGTATTTTTTCATCCAGAATGAATTTCTTTGCGAGATTTGAAGTGTGCTTCTGGACATTATCTTGCTGGAAGATTGATTTTAAGGGTGTATTGTCTTCCATATAGGGTAACATGACATGCTTTAGTATGTCTGTATATACAAACTTAACCATAATGCCATCTATTCTATGTAAAGGTCCCATCCCAAACCCCCAAAAGCAGCCCCAAACTATAACAGACCTGCCTCCATGTTTGACAGTGGGCAAAGTGTACTTGGGGTTCAATCTTTGTCCACTAGGACATCTAACGTAATGAATACATTCTGATCCAAACATATTGAACTTGGAGTCATCACTGAAACAGATCCTCCAATCAAGATGCCACCGTGCAAATTGTAATTGGTCCTTACGGTTTTAATCTTCTACTTATATTTTTCGTAAAAACACTGACAATTCCTTTTGTCTCGATTTTGGCTTTTATTTGTCTTGGGGTTTTAAACGTATCTTTGGACGAAATTACTTTTATTAATCTAACTGATCTAGCTTTTAGTTTTCTAGACCGACTTCTCTTAGAGGCACTGAACGTAGAATGTCCCAGAGAATCGGCTATTTCTTTTGCTATGCATCGTATTAGCAGACCTAAAAAAAATAAGTTTTTTGCGTTTTTGTCACGACGTACCTATTAATAACATCACTCTTTTTATCTATTTTGGAATTGATATGTAAACAAAATTCGGGATTCGCGCACCGCACCGCGACTGATCAGGAGACCGGAAGAGTCTACCACTGCTGGCTCTCTTTTTATTTTATTTTTTTGTACCTACATTAACTGAATTATATTTGCATTTCCATATTCTTTAGTTTATTGAGAAATAACATAGACAACTTCAGAAAAAATAGTAATATTTCAAAAGTAGCGATTTTCTACGCATTTTGGAAAATGGCGATAACACAAAACCCATGTAAATCGGATAAGGGCATATATGGTTTTTCTTCATAATGGAGATGGAAACTGGCATCATCGTTCAATTCAATTCAATGGACTTTATTGTAACACATACATAATTATGTATCCTTACAAATGGCGAAGTCTGGCCAATGGCCATTTATACTTAACCATAAATGCCATTATTAATACCTTAAAAAAAAAAAAAAAAACTGAAAAAGAAGAATAATAGTGAAAGAAGAATTAATAAATATGACATAATGCGTACGATTAGAACAAAAAACATAATACGTACGATTCAAAGAGACGACAATAACCTAAGAGCTCAATAAGTAGTTCTTATATTTTTTTTTTAGAAAAGTTGCTGATGAAACAGAGTTGATCAATTTCACCGCATTATACGTAAAAGACCGTTGAAAAATGGCTGTCCTATGTTGTGGCATTGTCAGGAGATTAATGTTGCGCGTATTCAAATTGTGAATTAAATTCCTACGAACAAGCTTTTGCATAAGATAAACCGGAACAGAAGTTTTTAATATTTTTACGACAAATGTAACAAAGTTGTATTTGAAAAGATCAGAAATTTTCAACCAATTCATTGAAGATATTGAGTGAGAAACATGATCGTACCTTCTTAAATTGTTTATGTGACGACTACATAAGTTTTGAATTTTTTGCAATCTGCATTTTGTGATTTCATCCAGACAGGGATAATAAACTATGTTGCAGTAAGCGATTTTACTGAGTATGAGTGACTCGCATAACATTTTCTTAATTTTTCTATTTAAAACAGTTTTACTTGCATATAGAAGCCTGAGTCTAAAATAACTAGACTTACACACATAGCCAACATGCTCCTGAAATCTGAAATCTTCATCCAAGTACAAACCTAAATTTTTTGCAAAATGGGAAAATATTAGGATACTATTATTTAGTGATAAATTTAACTTTGATTTGAGGAAAGTACGTTTTTTCTTGGAGCAAAAGAGTATAGCTGTCGATTTCGATGCGTTTAGACGGAAATTATGTTTTGCAGCATATGTGCATAAGTATTGCAGATCTTGATTGATAAGGTTGTTAGCTAAATGGTAGTTGTTCGGACAGAAATTATGAAAAACCTGCATATCATCAGCATATGATTGACTAGAACAATGTTGAAGGGTGTTAGAAATGTCAAAGGTGTATATAAGGAATAAAAGTGGACCTAATATGGATCCCTGAGGCACGCCGGAACAAATCGGCCTTTTGTCTGAAAGTTTATTTTGTATGACGACATATTGATGTCGTTCATTTAAATAGCAATCTATCGTTGCCATGGAAACATCTCTTATGTAGCTTATATTGTCTACTGAGAATTTAATATTTGACACATGTATTCATTCTCAAGAATATTTCATTTTTTTACCCTAGGATCAAACAAGGCATGCTCCAGGCGTTAGTCAGTGAACAAGAGAAGCTGGTAAAAAATGCTATTGCACAGTTTATTGGTGTTATAGGGAAGCATGAATTCCCTGACAATACTTGGCCAGAAGTGTTACAATTTATACATACCTTAACTGTTAGTGAATCAAATTTTGACAAAGAGGTAAGATTTGCTTTTTAGTAGCATTTTCTAGCTGCATTTTCTTCAAACATTACTAACCTGGATACTCCCAAAGTTCTACTGAGAATTTTGACTTTAACATTTAATAGTAATATTTATTGAATTTTAAACTGGTGGTGCCATCTCTAAATGCTCATCAAACTTTCCCAGTGATGCCTAATTCAAGGTCATGGATTAAAATAAATGAAAAGAACACCAAGTAAATGTGCAGCTCTTTCCAACAAGGAAATTCCAGCTAGCAGCGACTGTTGTATACAGTCATAGTAACAAGTTAATGATATGATAATAACAAATGTTTTTGCTTTTCCAGCTTGGAATGTATACTTTATCGATAATGACTGAAATAGCTCAAAGTTCTTATATCGTCCATGCTGACTCATTTGCTGTGCTGTTCACGAATATCCTGAATCAACTGACTGACCTTAAATCCAATGTAGCTTACTATACAGTCACTACAATGAAGAATCTCGTACCCGTCATAGGAGGACATCAACAGGTAAATGCATATTTTCAATATGCTTTCAGCCTCAGGTTTCACAATAACATGGGCGCTTTTTGCTTTAATCTGATATTTCCTATTCTTTTGAAATGATCTCTCTAAGAAGATATGTTACGTTGTATTTGAAACATTGCAAAATGCGAGTATTGATGTTGTGCAATATTCGACTACATCTTCTGTTACAGATGGTCAATGTATACCACAGCCTTTTGCCTCGTGTTCTGGAAGTGATTAACGCCACGGCTGAAAATGACGAAAAACGCACCTGTGACATGTTTGAGATCATCGAAGAATTGATAGAATATGCCATCACTGCCATAGTGCCCCATATCACGCTGATAGTAGAGATGTGCCTACGTATTGCTAGCAATGCAAATTTACCCAAAAGTGTTCAGATCAAGGCCGTCAGTGTTGTTGGGTGGTTGATTAGATCCAAAGGAAAGGTATGTTTTTTATGATAATGATGTCGGACAAAAAATCGATATCATCATGAACATCACTCCGGAACTCTGCAAGAGGGTGTTTCAGAATAAGCGCGCGCAATGAGAAGAGTGTGTCCGAAGGATGAAATGATGTTTAAGAAATAAAACCCACCGAATTTATGACAGTAACTTGAGAATGATCCCTGGTATCTTGCAGGTCATACAAAAACATAAGCTGGTGGAACCTATCATCGACGTCCTCATCCTATTGATGGCACAAGTTCCGGAAGACGAGGGCAATGAAGAGTATTTCCTTGGAGATCCAGATCAGTTCACGTCCATAACTGTAGCTACACAAACGTTAGATTTGATTGCCCTCCATATACCAGCTGAAAAAGTTGTTCCGTACATACTGACCAAGGTGGAACCCGCAATACAAGGTACGATATTCACTTTACACTATAGGCTTAGAATAGATTTATTTATTACATTACCCAGTTTTACCACCAGCCAAACCGACTCTTTAATAATAAAAATAATTCCGGCTTTATTAGGGCGAAATTTAGTCAACGGCTAACCCTCGTAAGAAATTAGATTATACAGAAATTTAGAGAATAATATAAATGACTTACTAAATCAAAACGTGAAACTAGCGATATCACTTTGCTGGTAGCATTTGCCTATTGCGTATTTTTTTAATTCATTATTCACCTGATTATATAATTTCATAGTGTTATATGAGAAAGACCTTTGGAATAGTGTTTAATGGTGACGATGTATACTGAAGTTAACCCCGCGTCTTAAATTTAGGTATAAGTTATTCAAATAGATGAGATGGTGTGGAAGTCACTATTTGTGTACAAAAGTGAGATAGTGTAATTTTACAGTTTTTTCTTTGACATTCAGGCAACCAATTTTTTTCAGCTTTACAAATGTATGATCATATTTTCTTTTTTGTTTGTTTGTTTATGATTTATTTAGCATGATTGCTATAATTACATTCTTCTAAAAAACTAATCAATTACATAACATACAGACATTCAGAAAAAAAAATTATCTCTAAAAATGTTCATTGTCCATGAAATATTCCTTTAATTTTCTTTTAAATATCTTTGAATTACAAGTAAACTTTATATCATTATTTAGTTTATTAAATTCAAGTAATCCTTTCTGAAATATTGATTTGCTAGTTATATTACTATTGCAATTTTGTAAATAAAAATATATATTTCCTCTTGTATAATAATTGTGGTAATGATTATTCAATTCTATATAGAGTTCTAAATGTTCTGTCAAAAGATGCTTTTTTATTTTAAATATAAAAATAAGAACCAAATATGATATGAAATTTTTTATACTCAACCACTGCAATTCTTGAATCATAGATTTTATTTTGGTGTACTTATTTTTATTCAATATTATTCTCATAGCTTTATTTTGCAAGACTTGTAATCTTGAGAATACAGCTTCATTGGCAGTGAACAAGATAGTTGATAGTGATCCTCAAACTTTAGTTTACTATCAATATATACTAAGTGACATATAAATCCGAACGCCCAGTTTAAATGGTTTTATTTTAATAAAATTTTGTATAAGTACTTAATGAAGCATAATAAGTAAATGATAAAAATTTCAAAATGATTGCACTGCTTTAAAGCTCTTTGACCTTTAATAATGTGTGGATGCACCCTGATGTGCTACGCATTCTCCAACGCGCCTAGGCATGCTTCTGATCAGGTGGTCAATGTCCTCCTGTGGTATCTCATTCCAGGCAACCACCAACTCCTCTCGAAGTGCTTCTAGAGTCTGAGGAGGACGTTGCAAATTGAGCAATCTCCTACCCATCATATCCCACACGTGCTCAATTGGGGATAAGTCGGGAGATCTTGGTGGCCATGGTAACAATGTGACATCATTATGTTGAAAGAAGTCTATTGTGACTCTTGCAATATGTGGTAGGGCATTATCTTGTTGGAAAGTTGGATCTGTCAGGGTGTCAAGATAGGGTAAAAGATGGGGTTCTAGAACTTCGTGGATATAACGCTGCGAGTTCATGTTACCTCTGATGAAGATTAAAGGTGACCTGGAACCATAAGCTATAGCACCCCAAACCATAACTCCAACAGTGTGATGAACATGTCTTTCAACAAAAAACTGTGGATTCCTACTTTCACCACGTCGCCTTCTAACCCTGGCACGACCATCGTGCATGCCTAAACAAAATCGAGACTCGTCACTAAAGACAATACTGTTCCATTTCTGATCCCAGAATGACCGTTGTCTGCACCACTCAAGGCGATTACGTCGGTGTTCTCGAGTTAAAGGGAGGACCCAGTGTGGCCGGTATGAAAACAAGCCAAAACTTCTCATTCGTCGGTAAACACTTCGCATGCCAATAGGTCTTCCGTGTTCTGCAAACCATTCATTTGCAATGGACCTGGTAGTGGAGAAACGGTCCCTTAAGGCCAATAATCTTAGGCGGCGATCTTCATGGTCTGTTGTTCTACGGCGGCGTCCAGTGCCCCTTGCTCTTTGCGTACGGCCTTCTCGAAGCCATGCCTGACAACACCTAACCACAGTGTCTACACTTCTTTGCACTCTAACTGCAATTGCCCGAAAAGAAAGTCCAGCTTCCCGAAGTCCCACTATACGGCCCCTATCAAACTCACTAAGTTGACGAAATCGTACAGGTCTCCGTACTCTAGGCATCGTAACCGATCGTAAAGGATGTCAAGAACCAAAATCCGCCAACGTTGATTCTTTACTGCGGCTGAAATATTCATTTTTTAGAGCGTTAGTGAATTAAAAAAAAAAGCATTATAAAAACCGGAATGTCCAACTGATAAGGCTGAAATTTTTTTCACTTGTTATTTACAGTAAGATAAATACATTCACCAACTTTTATAAAATAAAACCATTTAAACTGGGTGTTCGGATTTATATGTCACTTAGTATGTTTTGAACACTTGACATAATATTTCCAACTTTTTTGACTTCTATTTACTAAATAATTTTGTAAAATGTGTAATACTGATCCTTTAAAGCCATTGTGATTTTTCCCTATCTATAGTCTCAAATGCCCTTTTGAAGTCTAAAAATATTGTAACAATATATTCTTTCTCATCTATACTTCTCCAGTCTTCCACCACCATTTGGATTGCCGTTTCTGTGGAACATTTTCTTCTAAATCCAGCTTGATTTTTTATCAAAATTTTAGTTTCTTCAATGAATTCTATGATTTGTTCGTATATTATCCCTTCGAACAGCTTCTCGACATCGGGCAAGACATTAATCGGTCGCATATCTGTATACAGCTGAAAATTTTGAACTTTTGGCACAGGGGCAATGGTGGAACACTTTAATTTTGATGGGAATTCACCATGTGCTAAACAATGATTCACCAATAATAATAATTTCTCTCCAGTTATATTAAAACAATCATTTAGAATATTTTTTGAGAGACTCTCACTTGGATTTTTATTAGATTTCAATTTTGAGATAGCTTTTCTTAGATTGTTGATGTTAATTGTCCTAAATTGCTTCATTGATCAATTCTGATATACTTGAAATGGACATAAGTTTGGATCACCGTCATCACTCCCAATTCTCATTTTTTGAAAACGATCGGATAGGTATGACTAAAGATATGCCATCGAGTCCATAATATTGGAGCTTGACTCAAAGCAGTCCTTGATCAGCTTTGGAAAAACCGAGGGAAATCAGTACCTTGCATAAGCTTCTGTTATCATTTAATCTTACCCTAAAGATGACAAACACTCATATAAAAATCTGTTTAGCTGGTGATGTGACTGTGTAATGTTCTTATAAGCACCTTTTTTAACAATTTAATTCTTCATATTGGTACGTCCCTTCCTTCCGCTAAGCCGTTCACTGTTCTCATCACAAGCAATTTGACTTCAAACGGTTTTGATTTGGGTTAAGCCGCTTTTGCTCACTCAAGCAACTGACATCTTTGTTTTGAATTTGTGGATTAAGCTACTGACTATACAGGGTGATTCACAAGTCGTGACCAAAAATGAAACATCATACACAGGACCGCATTTTAAGGGGGGATCTTCTATTAACATTTTTTCTCGAGGGCTTCTTGAAAAGATACGAGGTGTTGAAGTTTAAAAATAAGAACGTTTTTTTTTTATATCTTCAAAACCGTCAACTGGAAGGATTTAAAATTTGGTATGTGGATTTATGTAAGTATTGTCCACATTCAAAAATCTTTACTTAAAATTAACGTGCACCAGTGGCGGAGATACAGGGCATTATTTTTCCAAATAAAAATAGTACGCCACTGTTTTTTTTTTCGAAACTCGCAATTTTTCAATTTGCTACAAATAATACTTACTAATAAAAGGTTCTTGAAATCCCTTATTTAAAAATGGTATGGTTAACGTATTTCACAGATCAAAACTGCGGAAAATAGCACCTTGTTTATAAACATATTTTTTGAATCTGGTGAATATCTTAACATTACTGTTAAATAGTGATATTAAAAAAATTACGAATTGGTTAGATGTTAATAAACTTGCATTAAACATTAATGAAACAAAATATCAATAGGGAAACATTTATGCGATAATGCAGGGTGCGTCATCTATTACTTTTTTCTATTTGAAAAATCAACACGCTTTTTACGAGGTGAAATCGATTTTTTTAATTGATAAATGAAGGTTGGTTTATGCCATTTATGTATGAAAAATAACCTCAGTCATGTGACCACCGCGGCTTCGCTTACAGGCCAACATCCGAACATCAAAATTTTCAATGACTTTTCTCAGAATAATCGGGTCTATGGCCGCAATTTCAGTCCGAATATTGCGCTTTATGTCTTGAATTGTCCGGGGACCATTCGCATACACTTTTCCTTTCAAAAATCCCCAAAGAAAATAGTCAAGAGGTGTTAAATCGCACTATCTCGGGGTCCAACTGACATCTGAATTTCGTGAAATTATGCGGTCTTGAAATTTCGTGTGCAATAAGGCGATTGTTTGGCGAGATGTGTTACTCGGTCTTGATGAAACCAAAGATCGTTGGCACCAATACGATCCGATTGTGGCCACAAAAAGTCTGTTAACATGCCGCGATAACGTTCCCCGTTGACGGTAATGGCCTTTTCTTCGGCATCTTCAAAGAAGAATGGTCCAACGATGCCACCAGCCCATAATCCGCACCAAACAGTCACTTTTTCAGGATGGAGAGGTTGTTCATGATATTGGTGTGGATTTTCATCCCCCCAGAATCTGCAATTTTGCTTATTTACGTACCCATTGAGGTGAAAATGAGCCACATCAGAAAAGAGCACTTTGGCCGAAAATCCGTCTCCTCTTTCCAGCATTCAATTAACAAAAACACGCCGCTATTGATGGTCTGCCGGCTTCAGTTCTTGTGTTAGTTGGATTTTGTATGGATGGAGGTGTAAATCAATGTGTAAAATCCGGCGTAAAGGGGTCTCACTAATTCCCAATTGTTGTGAACGGTGCCTAGTCGAGGTGGTTGGATCTTCTTGCACACTTTCACTGACTGCGGCTATGTTTTCACGAGTACGAGCTGGACGAGCATGTTGGTATCGTCTACGACCTTCAGCTGAACCAGTTTCCTCAAAACGATTAACAATCCAACGAATTCCAGGCTCTGTATGGCGTCCATGTCGACCAAAACTAGAGCGAAGTTTGCGAAAAGTATTTTTTATATTTTGAACGTTTTGGATAACCAAAATGCGTTGTTGTGTTGTAAAGAATCCATGACTATAAATGGCATACCTTTGACCTTCATTTATGCATACCACATGACTTTTGAATCACATGGTAACACATAAACTTATAGGTAAAAAAAAGTAATAGATGGCGCACCCAGTGGAATTAAAGAATCACTTTATAAATACTCAAAATGCATAGTGATGAAACTTTAATAGACAAAAATGTAAAATTACAGAAAATTGCTTCAAAAAATGTGTACACGAATAATTCTACAAAATTGAAATTGAAGCATTAATGCTAAATAAACCGCCAACAAACACACATTAATTATGCACGTTTCCGTCTGTTTGTGTGTGAAAAAATTATATTTGAATACATGTGCTGAGTCAAGTTACGGTGTTGCTTTTGGTGAGAATGCTCCCTTACAAATAAGGAAAGGATTTCCATTTCGGTCGTAAAACGTCCGTTGTAGGAAATAGTTTTTCTCTCTTCCTAGAGCAAAGTATTTTTAGGTGGTAATATTTATGCTCAGAAGGCAGCCTATCTATCCCTAGCCGTGCTAGCTGAAGGGTGCTCAGAGAAAATAAGGCTTAAATATCTAGAATCATTTTTGAAATGTGTTTGTCAAGCAATACACAATCCCAATGCGGTAGTCAGGAACGCTGCATTTTTTGCGTTAGGCCAGTTTGCAGAACATTTGCAAGTAAGTAATGAAGAAATATTTAGTTGGTGTAGTTTAAAATGTCAAGATGTGTGCTTCTACATAATTTTAATATACGTGTATACCTAGTGTCTAAGAGAAAGGAATTAACAATAAAAAAATAATAAGTTCCAGCTCATCCATTTAACAACGTTAACGAAACGCGAGCAAAGTTGCCGCTTAGAAAGTCTAGAAATTAAAAGTACTTACGGAGAAAGACGAAAACATCGAATTTTTCCAAAATCCTATTAATTTTTTTGTTTTATTTGTAATGCGATTTCAAAATATATTGCACATTAACATTGTCACTTCATCTCCTTTACAAGATAGCTCAATTAGAGTTTCAATATGGCGTTTCGTCTTTTGTCCTCCTGCAGCTACTTTATTTTTTCTTATTGACGCGATATTAGTTTTTTATACAGAAGAATAGAGTTTATACAGCAGACGCTCGATAACGTAAACATGGGATAATGAAAACTTGCACTAATGTAAACACAAACTTCGTTCTATGGAATCAAACGGAACGCGCGATAACGTAAACAATGTGTACGCTCGATAACGTAAACAACTCTCGGCGCACGGTAACAGCGTGACGGTAAAATGCTGAAGCCTCGACGATTTATGTCGGGCGTCGGAGATTTATGATGTAGAGTGTAGGGGATTCACCTCTGCGATAAAATACGACAAACTCGGTCAGTCGTATGATCGTTTAGGATACGTTTATACGTACGTATGTATTTCATTTTTAAACTTAAGTGAATACATTGCACGCGTTAATATATTTTACGACTATGGCATCCACATCCTATAAAAGAAAGTGTTTAAAGTTGAGTGAGAAAGTGAAAATCATAGACGAAGTTGCACTAGGTGCGGGAGTGACACAGTTAGCAAAAAATATGGAGTATCGAAAGCAACAATCTGTAAAATTAAGCGTATGAAAACTCAAATTTTACAAAGAACGTGCAATACATTTGGAGGTCCGGGAAAAAGAAAAACTTTAAAAAATGCGAAGGCACCTAAAATGAAAAATTCCCTGTATAAGTCGTTTTTAAAACAACGGGAAAATCATGTCCCAGTTAGTGGCGAAGTACTTAAACAGAGGGCGAGACTGTCAAATGAAAAACTGAGAGAAACTGAAAATTTCGTAGCTAGTGATGGCTGGCTACAACGATTCAAAACAAGATATGGAATTCGACTGCTGTCTATATCTGGTGAAAAATTATCAGCACAACCACAATTAGTGCAACCATTCAAAGAAAAATTGATGAAAACAATTACCGAGCTAGATTTAAGAATGGAACAAATTTACAACGCAGATGAAAGTGGCCTTTATTGGAAAATGTTACCAGAGAAAACCTATGCTGCATCATTTGAAAAATCTGCCCTGGGAAGAAAGCCGGAGAAACAACGAATAACGTTTCTAGCCTGCACTAATGCTAATGGTTCACACAAAATAAAGCCACTGGTAATTGGGAAAGCAAAAAATCCTCGTTCATTTAAAAATGTTAATATCCCTGTTGATTATGACTGTTCAAAAACCGCTTGGATGACTAGCAGTATATTCCTGAAATGGTTCCACAGGTGCTTTGTCCCTCAGGTACGACAATCAATTATCACAAATGCTCTATTCATAATTTGAAGATGTGTTTTCAATTTGTAGGTAAAAGGTTTCTTAAAACAACAGAAGCTTCCAATAAAAGCGTTGTTACTATTGGATAATGCACCAAGTCATCCTCCCGAGCAACAACTGAGGAGCAGGGATGGGTCAATTTTCGTCATGTACATGCCGCCCAACGTAACACCGTTAATTCAACCGATGGACCAGAATATAATAAGACTCACCAAACTATACTATAGGAAGTTTCTACTTTCGTCTGTCTTATCAAAGAATCCTGAAAACTTATCTGAGTCTTTAAAAAAAGTAACATTACGAGAAGCTGTTTTAGATTTACATATGGCCTGGAATGAACTTAACCAGCAAACTATTCAAAAATGTTGGAACAATCTCGTTTGTAACAATAATGAAGATGATGAAGAAGACGATGTCCGCTTAAGCGTAATTAGAGAACGTTTGCGATCCAATAATGATAATGTTATTAGTGTGTCATTGGATGTTGTTGATTTATGGAAAACAGTGAATCCCAACATTGTTTGTACTCCTGCTGATATTAATTTATGGAGCGAAGATAAGCAGACGAATGATGCTGATAAGGAGGAAGATATGGACAGTGAGGATGATGAGAACGATCCCATTGAAGTGAGAAGTGTAGTGACTGACGCGCAAGCTAGACAAGTTTTTAACCAAGCTTTAGATTGGGCTGGAAGAGAAGAAGTTTCATACACGTATATTTTAGTTCTTCGTAAATTACGGGCGCAGGCATTGGAAGACAATGCTAAGCGCAAATTTACGCAGACAAAAATTGTTAATCATTTTTCTTCTAATTAAAAAAATACTTATCGCTGTTAGAATATTTGTTTATTTTGTTATAAATAGTATGTATTAAACGTTTCTTTTAATAAATCAAATATTATATAAATCACGTTCGCTAATGTAAACATTTCGATAATGTGAACCACACTTGGATTAAATTAGTTTACATTATCGAGCGTCTGCTGTAATTCCAAACATGTACGAGCCCCTTCCCACTTCAGTTGGCCCAACTATTGAAATATTAGTTTTTTCTTATCAAACACAAATAATAAAAATATAAAAGTGTGTTATAGGTTTAAAATATTAACAATGAATAGTTTGATAATAAAGGTTATTAGTGAGAAAATTCGGTACTGATAATTAAATTTTTTAATTCTGAGAAATCAAACTCAGAAATTGCAACTTTGCTAGACTTATCGCGATACAGTGTGAGAAATATTGTTAGAAGATATAACGTAATTGGTCCAGTTAATAGTAAGCCACGATATGTGAAAAAAAGTAATATCACAAATGCCGACCGAAGAGCATTAAGAAGAATAATTGTGAAAAACGGGCGTGCCAATTATTTACAATTAAGTGCTCTGTGGCGTGACGCTGTTAGAAGCAGAATTTCGAGGTCCACAACTCACAGAGAGGCCCACAAACTGGGATTGAGCACTTGCATGGTAAGTTTTCTTATAAAAAAAGTGAAGTAAAAACCCTAAAGTTGCACAACTTGTTTATAGGCCAAAGAAAAGCCACTATTAACTCCACTGCAAAAGAAAAATCGGCTTAGATGGGCTAAAGAACATAGACATGGACACCTCAACAATGGAGTGATGAGGCCCGATTCGAAGTTTGTGTTGGTGACAGGTGCAGTAGAGTTATTCGCAAAAAAATGAAGCATTCCATGTTGACTGTCTGAAGAGAAAAGTGAAATTTCCAGCATCCATTATGGTCTGTATGTCATCAAAAGGAGTAGGAAAAGTTCATTTTATTGATGGAAATGTGGATACAAACAAATATTTGGCAAGTTTAGAACAATCGCTTTTACCAGTGATGGAAGAATGTTTGACATCCGGCCAAGATTTTGTGTTTCAGCAAGAGGGTGCAGCGTGCCATACCTCAAAAAAGGCTATAAAATGGATGGAAGAAAATAATGTACCACTTTTGAAATGGGTTTCTAGCAATCCAGATCTGTCACCTATTGAAACTTTGTGGCACGAGATGAAAAAGGTTCTACGACAACATCCTGCTCGTACAATCACCGAACTGAGACAAAAGCTTCAAGAAATATGGGATTGTTTTGCACCAATTTTTTGCCAAAACTTTTTTAACACTATGCCCCAAAGAATTTCAGCCGTGATAAAAAATAAAGGTGATGTTACCCAATGGTAATCTTTCTAGTGTATCTAAAATGTTTTTGAGAAAATAAATTGTTTTAGAAGTAAATAATTTCGTCATGTTTAGTTTATAAAGGCATATTTTGGCACAAATCTTGAAGTGGGCCAACTGAAGTGGGAAGTGGCTCGTATAATATGTCGTCCGTTGACATTGCCAAACCTTAGTTATTTAAAAAAAAAACAATATCCTGGGCAGGCCTAAAGCTACCTAAATACGCAACTTTGCCCCCGTTTAAGCAACTTCGTACCTCTTTCTGTTCCCGAGATCCCAATGTTGAGGGTAGATTTTGAAACAGCCGGTTACAAATAAATACTGGGTGCGCCCTCTTTTATGTCAGTATTGAAACATCGAGACTGATATTTATCAAGCGAGTGATTTGGTTATACGTGTTTCTGAAACGTCATTTCATTACAATGTTATTCATGAATCGCTTTACACCGAAACAACGCGCCGAAATAGTCGAAAAAGTAATGGAAAATGCAGCAAAACAGGCACATTTTGTTTTGGCTAATATAGGTGGCCATTTGATAGATGTTGTATTCAAAAACTAGTCCCAATAAATTGTATAGGTCTATATTTAATAAAAATACCCCATATATAGAAATCCGTTTTTCGTTTTCAAAGTTATTTCATGTCTACATACCGATATAAAAGATGGCGCACCCTGTACATGCAACTTTGTATTTATATTATTATTGAATAACATGTTGTTTTATTTTGTAGCCCGAAATAAGTAAGTATGCATCAGAACTACTGCCAATTCTGTTTGAATGTTTGAGTCAGATTTTCACGCAGATGGAAATCGAAAAGAAGGACCCACCCAGCTTGGACAGATTATTTTATGCCTTGGAAACATTTTGTGAAAATTTAGATGATGGTAAGTCAAAAGTATGCCAATGCATATACGAACTCGATCCGTGCCAAATCATTTTTAATTACGTATTACTTCTGCAGTCTATCGATTTTTCAACCTAACTCATGCCATTTTTTTTTATTATAGGTTTGATGCCGTATTTGCCCACTCTGATGGACCGTTTATTTGTTGCGTTGGATCCAATTGGGTTCTCAATGCAGCTGAAGCGTGTGGCCTTAAGTACTCTTGGATCTGTCTGTAGTGCTGTGAAAGAAGGCATGTTACCATATTTTAAGAAAGTAATAGAAGTATTGAATGTATATATCAATTCAGATCCTAATTCGGAATTGCATCAGCTGCAATATTATGCGATAGGTGAGTACGACTTATATATAAAAAATATAAGTGTGTGTGTGTTTAACATAAAATAATACTACATATACAGGGTGTTTCAGTTTATTGTTGCATAACTTTAAGATTCGATAGAACCTTTAAAATTAATGCATAAAGTCTATATAAACATGAGTCGAAAAATGCGTGGCTTCCGAAATACAGGGCTTTTAAATTTACTTTCTAAAATAGTTTTTTTAAATATTTCGAACAATATTTGATGTATAACAGTGAAAATTGGTATACAAGGGTTTTTTGGTACGACAAAACGAACCATGGGCATAGTTTTACTGTAGCCGCTAGAGGGCGCTCTCTACTGTACCTGTAGTGTATTAAAATGACCGAAAAATTTTTTTAGTGCAATTTTTTGCTTTTTGAATAAAAAAACTGATTCTTCGCACTTTTCAACATAAAAAAGCTCTCTTGTGAATTTTCGTTATAGTTAGCCGTTTTTGGGATATTTCGATTTTTAAGGTTCGATGCATTTTTAATTATTTATGATAAAATAACGTTAAAAAGTCAGTATCTCGATAATTTTTAGAAGTAGGCTGTGCCTGTAAATATTTTTGAAATTGAAAGCAGAATAAGGTTAAACGTCAATTAGTTGACAGTTAGTTTTGTTGTCTGTTGAAACCTGAAATGTTTTTTTTTTGCAATTGTGAATGCACGAAATTTAGTTTCTTTTACCTGTTTTTTTTTTGTAAGTTTTATAAAAATCCCATTTTTGTTCTCCAATCAAGAGTTAGCGCATATTCATTTTGTGTATGGCTTTGTAATTGGAAACGTAGCAGAAGCAGCTAGAGAATACGCACCAAGATTTCCAAACAGACGACATCCAACTCGCTCAGTATTTGTAAGAGTGCATCGCCAAATAATTGAAAATGGTTTTGGAAATCTCCAAAGGGATCAAAACATAAATGTTCGTCAGCGCAGATTTACCCGTATGATTCTGCGTGAGTTTGATAGAGATCCGACAACAAGTGTTAGGAGAGTTTCTGGTGCCTTGGGAATTTCAGCAAGCCATGTTCACCGTGTTCTTAGAAATGACCATATACGTCCTTACCATTTGCAACCTGTGCAAGGACTACAGCCAGGGGACGGAGAACGAAGAATCACATTTTGTCAGTGGATTCTTGATAGAACTGATAATAATAGGGAGTTTTTAAGTAACGTTTTATGGACCGATGAGTCATGCTTCACTATACGTGGAGTGGTAAATTTTCATAATCAACATATTTGGTCGCATGAAAATCTGCATGCAGTTCGGGAAAGAAATGTTCAGCATGAATTTAGTGTGAACGTGTGGATTGGTATCTACCGTAATCGACCATTTGGACCCTACCGTTTGCCTGCAAGGTTAAATGCTGCTACCTTCTTGGAATTTTTAAAGGCTGAACATGCAAATATGTGGGATGAGTGTTATGTTAGATTTAAGAAGATTGGCCTGGTCCCAGCTTGATGGTTGTCCAGCTCATTATTCGAGAATAGTTAGAAACTGGCTGGACGAAAATTATCCAGAAAGATGGATCGGCCGTGGAGGACCAGTCGCCTGGCCTCCACGATCCCTTGACCTAAATCCATTAGATTTCTTTGTGTAGGGATTTCTAAAAGAAAAAGTGTACCAGACTCCCGTAACCACAAGAGATATGCTAATAGACAGAATCAGGAATGCATGTGATGAAATAAGGCCTTATTTGAATAATGCTATACCACGTTCGATCATTCGTAGATGTGAATTGTGTATTGAACAATTGGGTTTACATTTCGAGCAACTACTTTAGATTTTGTATGTTTGTCCTAACTATCCAATAGCATTTTAGTTGTAAATAATTAATTTAATTTGTTAAAAATAATATTGGAAAATTAAACAAATTAATATTGTTTTTTTGTGTTTATTTGGACGATCTTCTTAATTACTTGTAATGCCCAAATCGAAAATGTAAAAAAAATATTATTTTCCCATAAATAATTAAAAATGCATCGACCCTTAAAAATCGAAATATCTCAAAAACGGCTAACTATACCGAACACTCACAGGAGAGCTTTTTTATGCAGAAAAGTGCGAAGAATCAGTTTTTTATTCGAAAAGCAAAAAATTGCACTAAGAAAAAATTTTCGGTCATTTTAATACACTACAGGTATATTAGAGAGCGCCCTCTAGCGGCTACAGTAAATCTATGCCCATGGTTCGTTTTGTCGTACCAAAAAACCCTTGTGTACCAATTTTCACTGTTATACATCAAATATTGTTCGAAATATTTAAAAAAAAACTATTTTAAAAAGTAAATTTAAACACTCTGTATTTCGGAAGCCACGCATTTTTCGACCCATGTTTATATAGACTTTATGCATTAATTTTAAAAGTTCTATCGAATCTTAAAGTTATGCAACAATAAACTGAAACACCCTGTATGAAATCTAATTTTTTTTCTGACTAACCGCTGTTCATTTGATAAATATTTATTTAGCATTATTGCTAAACATTTTTTTAATATCAACTTTTTTGTAATTTTACATTCTTGTCTATTGAAACTACATTGCTCGGCAATTTGTGTATTTTTTTGTTTCAGATTTATTTAGCATGATTGCTATAATTACATTCGTTTAAAAAGAAAAAGCTACAACAGTTACATAACATATAAGTATTCAGAAACACAAAACTTGTATCTCTGTTCATGAAATGTTCCTTTAGTTTTCTTTTAAACATCTTTAAATTACAATTAAACTTTATATCATTATGTAGTTTATTAAATTCAAGTAATCTTTTCTGAAATATTGATTTACTAGTTACATTACTATTGCAATTTTATAAATGGAAATCTATGTTTCTTCTTGTATAATGAGTGTGGTACTGAATATTCAATTCTATGTAATCTTTTAAATGTGGCAAAAATAATATTTTATTTTAAATATGCAAATAAGAACCAAATTTTATATGAAGTTTTTTATATTCAACCACTGCAATTCTTGTAACAGTGATTTTATTCTGGTGTACTTATTTTTATTCCATATTATTCGCATAGCTTTGTTTTATAGGACTTGTAATTTCGAGAATACAGCTTCATTGGCAGTGAAACTATATAAACTATTTTTTTTTTAATATATACTATGACAAGCGCTATAAAAGTATTTTGTTTTTTTTTTTGTAAATTTTTGAAATAATGTATTCAGAGTGATCCTCAAACTTTAGCTTACTGTCAATATACGAGGCTTGTTCAATAAGTACCCGTGTTTGAGGACAAAGGGCGTTCCTGAGGGAAGTTGGTATGCTCATCGTGTGCTGCCATCTATCGAACGACGGCACACCAAATTTCAGACTGATTGATAGGTTAGTTTGGATTTGGTAGCCATTTGAGTAACACGTGTTTCGTAATTTTCGCTAAGGTGGAAAAAGAGAAGTATCGATCGGTAATTCCCTTTTTGTTTTTGGATCGGAAAAATACGAGGAGATATAGTAAAAGCAAAGTTGGATGCTGTTTATGGAGACACTTCGCAATCTATGACCACAGTTAGGTTTCGGTTCAACGGATTTAATCGTGGGCGAACATCCGTTTTTGATGAGGAGCGACCAGACGTGGTTACCGAGGAAATCATTCAAAAAGTCCACGACATGAGCAGAGGACGTAGGTGTGTCGGCCGGAACGGCAATGAATATTTTACATGATAAATTGGAGATGAAAAAATTGTCGGCCCGATGCGTGCCGCGATTGCTCACGGCGAACAAGCGGATGCGGCTGTTAACTTCGAAACAGTGCTTGGAGCAAATTAAGCGAAGGAGTTTTTGCGTCGAGTTGATGAAACCTGGACTCAACATTATACACCAGAAACTGAGAAACAATCAAAACAATGGATTTCTCCCCGTGAATCTGCTCAAAAGAAGGTGAAGACGGACCTATCGGCCGGAAAGGTCATGGCGACGGTTTTTTTGGGATGCGAACGGCGTCATCCTCGTGGATTTTTTAGAAAAAGGAAGAACGAGCACTGGACAATACTATAGTGACTTATTGGACCGCTTCGACAAAAAAGTTAATTGGACACGGCCACATTTGGCGAGAAAGAAGGTGCTGTTTCACCACGATAACGTACCAGCACATTCATCCGGAGTTGTCGCCGCCAAAGTGCGACTTTTTATTGTTCTCCGACATGAAGAAATGGCTCGTGGGGAAAAAATTACCTCAAACGAGGAAGTCATCGCCGAGACAGAGGCCTATTTTGGGGAGTTCGACAAATCCTATTTTTTGTAGGGGTGGAAAAATTGGCAGGAACGTTGGGAAAAGTGTATCTTTCTGAAACATAGTCCCCATGTTGATAAATACTTTTTTTTAAATGGTGACATCATTTCTAACACGGGTACTTGTTGAACTGCCCTCGTATATACCCAAATATTTAATTAATTAACTTTTCAGTTATTTTCTCACTTATCCAAACTATTTTCATGTATTTCGCTATTATTTTGTTTTAGAAGCCTTCAATCTTAGTTTATTTACATTTAACCAATTTATGATTTTTGTCAAGTCAGAATTTAGTATCTTTAAGCAGTGTCTATATTTTCGTTTTATATATGTATATTAATTAATATATCATCTGCAAATATTTAAATTTTACAATAATCTAAAATATTACAAATGTCATTAGTTTATTACCTTACGGTACACCAAAAGAAATATTTTTGCAACTTGATAATGATGATCCAATGCTGGTCTTTTGAATCCTGTCAATCAATGTGTTTTGTAGAATTTTGAATACAGATCCTTTAAATCCGTAATGATGCAATTTTGTAAGTAATGTATCCCTGTCAATAGTTTCAAACGCTTGAAGACAAGAAGCACTATCACTATATGTTCAATATTGTCCATTCTTCTTGCCAAGTCTTCTAAAACCGTTTGTATTGACGTTTCAGTTGAGTGTTTCCTCTTAAGTCCAGCTTAAAATTTGGTTAAAATCCTATTTCTCTCAATGAATTAAAATACTTTTTCAACATCTGGCACAACATTTATTGGGCGCACATGGGCGCACAACTCACAATTCTTAACTTTCGCAACAGGCGTTATCATAGAAAAGTTGTTTTTTGTTGGAAATTCTCCCTATCTTAAACAGCTTTTTATCAGGATTAATATTCATAAAGCGATTTTTTAATTTCACCCTAAACATTAAGGATCATTAAAATTTATGAACATTTCGAAAAAACAGGGCTTGCTTCATTGTTCAACCCTCCATTTATATATTTTCCAGAATCTTTGGCTGTGGTAGCCCAGTTCATAGGTCCAGAAAACTTCAAACCCTTAGCAAGCGAAACTTTGCAGCTGGGCATGCGGATATTAGGTGAAACAAGTGACCCTGACGTGAAAAAGAGCGTTTACGCTCTTTTCGCAGCTTTAGCTATCGTCATGAAAGACGAAATTAGTCCAGCGTTACCGAAAGTTGTCAATGAAATGATCGAGAGCATACGAAGTAGTGAAGGAATTGTGGTTAGTAACCTTTTTGTTTGTTTGCTGACGATTTATTTAACATTAATACTACAATGTCAGTTATATATAATTATTCTTTTACACGTTTCGTGAATAAATTTTCTGTAATTTTACGTTCTTGTCTATTAAAATTACATCACTGTGAATTTTGGGTATTCATAAAGTGATTTTTTATTCTTACCTTGAACATTTTTAAATTGGAACACTGTAATATCATTATGCAATTTATTAAATTCAAATTCTTCCTACAGGCGCACTATGAAGAGGAAGAAAAAGACGGAATTGATATTTATGCAGACCTTTCAGACGAAGAAGACGATGTAGAAGAAGATATTGACGGTTCATCGTCTGGAAGTGTAGATTCAGCACAGTGCAGATACTCTGTTGAAAATTCGTATAACGAGGAAAAGGAGCAAGCATGTCTCGCGTTGAGGGAGATCTGTGTTAACACTGGGTAAAGTGTCTTAAATACTTTATAGAATTTACACTCTTACTTTCTTGCATAATTGAATTTCAGAGCAGATTAACGCATCCAACGTAATATAGGAACTTAGCAACTGATTAATCAAATAATGCTGGTAAATTGTGCTTACATTTAAATCTGGTCCTGAATAAGTATCACCAGTACTGATACCGACACTATCATTATGTCAGTATCTAATATAACTGCTTGAATTGGGTCCATTTTCTCCCAGTGTCTTTTCGTCCGTTCAAGAATTCCATGTAATTCAAATTTGCATTTTTTACAGCTCGCTCTGCCTCCCGTTTTTCTGTCTAAATTATTCGATTTTTCAATAAAATATTGCCAAATAAGGCCCATTTTCTACCTCCACTTCTGGACATTTGAGCTATATGTATTTAGAAATCACACTACTATTTAAAGAAGAAAGGATAGGAAATACGTTGTTGTTTGTTGAAGATTTATTTAGCATTAATGCTACAATGTCAATTTTGCATAATTATCCGTTTACATATTTTTTGAATTAATCTTCTGAAACTTTACATTCTTATCTATTAAAATTACATCGCTATGGATTTTGGGTATTCATAAAGTAATTTTTTAATTTCAGCCTAAACAGTTTTGAATATTTATTGACTATTTAATATCATTTTTCGATTTATTAAATTCAAATACATATATATATATATACAGGGTGACTTTTAAGTTGAGTCATTAATTTTCAGATAATGATTGTAGAAGGAAGATAAACCAAAATATGTGTGTAAAAATAAAAAAAAAATTAAAAAAAATTTTACCTTGTTTTATAAAGTATCCTCCCGACAAGTATTTCAGTGCGGACCTGTATTTGATCGTGCGGTCTTGGAGCACCGGCATGCCGTCCCCTGTGAGGTCTTAAGTCACCTGATTCACGAGCCCGTTGTACTACATTAACAAATGAACGAGGGGTTGGTTGCACTCGATTGGGAAACCGACCCGCATAAACATGTGCCATTTTTTATTTCGTTTGAGCCACGCAACAGACACCACTATTCACTCACGCGTTAGCGACTGACACAGACTGAATAAAAACATCGTGATCAGCGTTTCAAATTCTTTCGCTTTTTTGTTTCCGATGCGATGAACTGATAAGGCGGATTATATCCGTTCTTACCAAACACGAGCACATAATATTATTATTGAGACAGGGCGGTACTCAAACTTCTAAAGGGCTGTAACTTTGTTACTTTAATTTTACCACAAAAATGTTAAAGGAAAAAAACATTTCTTTTGATCAGATCTACTCACTGTTAAAATAAATGGCTCAACTTCGAACTCACCCTGTATATATATACAGGGTGACTTGTAATGTCACGTATTCCTGTTAAGGGGTGATAGATTAGGTCAAAAGCAACCGATTTTGTCCTATAATCTCCTATCCAGAAGTTAACCGTTTTTGAGTTATTTGAATTTTATTTTTTTTATTTTTTATTCCGATTTCAGATGGTTAAATTTGAAATACAAAAAAACTACATGTCTGATTTTGAGTTTTTTGTTATCGTCGCATAGCGGACATTCCAATAGTTCATAATAAGTAATAAAATGTTGAAAACTTACAAAAGTTTTAAAATTACGCTTTTGAAATATATGATTTTCTTATTTTTTTACTAACTTATTCGATAAAAAATGCAATTTTCTGTAAAAAATCTCCTAGTAATGAAATGTGCAAATTATGTAAATAATATCTCTATCTAACAAGCTTTCATTTGAGGTATAAAAGTTACAACTAACTCAAGTATAAAGACATAAAATTAAAAAAAGATAAGTAAAGTTGTACGAATGATAATTACGTAGGATAAATAAAAGGCTTTTATTTTAATTACAGTTTTATTTAATTACATTTCCTTTAGTATTTTACAGATTCTGCTCAAATTGTAATCCCCTGTTACGAATACACGCCCGCATTCTCTTACGTAATTCACTTTTGGTAACTCTAGTTGTTAAGCGGCTTTTTATTTGGTCAGCTGCACTGATTATCCTTGTAATTAATTCATCGCGCATTGGTACGGGCGAAACATCGTACACCAGGCTTTTCATATGTCCCCACACATAGTAATCTATCGGTGTGAGATCTGGGCTTCTTGCTGGCCAGGCAATGGGTCCGCCTCTGCCAATCCATTGATTTGGACATTTAGAGTCTAAATACGCCCGTACTAATCTACTGTAGTGTGCGGGACAGCCGTAGTGCTGGAACCGCATATTTTGTCTCGTCGTCAATGGAAACAAGTGATTTTCAAGAACTCTTCATACACTTCTCCATTTAAATTGGCGGGCAGAAAATGAGGTCCAATTAAATATCCATCAATGATGCCCATCCACACACTGACTGAAAACCGGCTCTGAGACCCCGTCGGTCTTATTTTTCGGGGGTTTAAAGCTTCTTTATCAGCCCAGTAATGAATATTATGGTGGTTAGTGATCCCGTCCTTATCAAACTTCGATTCATCGGTCCACAGAATTTTCTTAAAATAGTCTGGATCTTCTGTATCTGCATGTACCTGCAGAAATCTAATCGTCTTGCAGGATCGCCCTCTTCAATCACATGCACAGGCGTGTAGTGATAAGGGTATAATCTTGCAGTATGCACAGTAAACCATACTTTGTATGTTGATATACCCAACTGAGTAGCCACAATGCGCGAAGACGTAGTAGGGTCTTCCTGAAACACACGAAGGATTTCCTCTTCATCTTCAGGAGGATAGACTCGGGGTCGACCAGCATCACTATGTTGCCTTTGAACACGTCCGGTTTGGCGGATGCGCCGATACACAGAGTCAAACAGTAACATGAGGTGTTCGGCGATTCGGGAAACGTTGCCGATATTCACGGCGGGCAGCTGCAGAATCGCCGTTACAAAGTCCATAACAGAACATCATGTCTGCGTATTCTTCATTTGTAAAAGTTTGCCCGTGCTCGCTATGGCGAGGTCCTGGCGGATCTTCTGCGTCTGCCATGATGATAAAGAAACCACTCGAAATGAACTGGGAAACTCGAAAATAATAATCGTGCGTAAAACGTGTGCGCGTACGCAGTAGTTGATACCAACTAAACCTAATTCTCACTCGGCGTGCGGCGATGGCGTAACTAATAATAACAGCTCTCTCTCTCTCACTCCTCCACTAAGTCAGCTCTTCTCGCTGGATTCCTCGTCGAGCCGATGCCATAAAACAATCATGGCATGCGAGTCCTTTGAGGACAGTAACGACTTGTTCAAACAGGTAATTTATTTATTTATTTATTTAGATTCAATACACTGCCTGAACGGAACACTCCATTGAACAGGCAGGAAGTACAGCATGCTCAGCCGACAGTTAGAAAATACCTTCGAAGGCTGTCTTTACTGTAGTGAAAGATATCAAGTGCACGTGCACTTTCACAAATGCCACACATAACATAGAGTGGTGAAAACAACAATAAGTTTGTTCTAGGAACAGGTAAATAGAATAAACTGTTGCTACCATGACGAGTACGCAAATTAGGTATGTGTAAATAAATTTTCTCTAAGAGTGAAGGACAATCAATGCTGCCATCGAGCAATTTACACAAAAAGGTAGCAGCGAATAAATGTCTGCGCTTCGTTAAATTTGGCAGATTGAATCTGCTTAATAATATGTCATTACGAAAGCCCCTTTCAGGATAAACTCTATCTTCTTTATACCACAAATACTTCACGAAACGTCGCTGAACTCTCTCAAGATTATGGGAATGTACATCGTAATACAAATTCCTTAAAAATCCAGCCTCAGTGGGGGTCATTGTTGTTTCTCTGCATGTACTTCAGATAATTGAACGCTTAATACCTCAAATGAAAGCTTGTTCGATAGAGATATTATTTACATAATTTGCACATTTCATTACTAGGAGATTTTTTACAGAAAATTGCATTTTTTATCGAAAAAGTTAGTAAAAGAAAAAGAAAATCATACATTTGAAAAGCGTAATTTTAAAACGTTTGTAGCTTTTCAACATTTTATTACTTATTATGAACTATTGGAATGTCTGCTATGTGACGTTAACAAAAAACTCAAAATCAAGCATGCAGTTTTTTTGTATTTCAATTTTAACCGTCTGAAATCGGAATAAAAAATAAAAAAACTAAAAATTCAAATAACTCAAAAATGGTTAACTTTTGGATAAGACATGATAGGACAAAATCGGTTGCTTTTGACCTAATCTATCATCCCTTAACAGGAATACGTGACATTACAAGTCACCCTGTATATAACGATTTTATCGTAAAAATCAGATAATTTTTGTCAAGAAAATAGTGATTTTTTGCAACGCTGGTTAGCAGTTTGTACCAAATTTATTGAAGTATTTTTAGACTGTGAATGAAAACTGTCCTCTAATGCCAGGTTCATATGTACAAAAGTGAGTAGCAGGCTGCGTTAAGTAGTGCATATTCCCTGAAGAAAGTTGCTCCGCACACAATACAGTTAGTCTGATTACTTATTTCGTGTGGTATTGACACATAACCGCTAAAATCCGTGAATAGAGCAATGTATATTTAAATTTCATTTATGTGACTGTTGGATTATCTGAATGTCCTTTTTTTCAGACGTGCTTTTCTACCTTATATCGAAACGTGCTTCGAGAAATCTCTAAATTAATTAATTATCCACAAGACGATATTCGGAAAGCATCTATTGAAGCACTCTTGCAGTTTTGTATCGCCCTCTATAAATGTAATTTGCCGGAAACGAAACAGGTAATAAAAATATATATTTTGGAGAAAGTGATGAGTACAGAAACCTTGAATGTTTGGAAAAGGACTAGGCGCAAAATGGGTCCTAGTCGATTTCTCTATAAAATTCAGTATGATATATTTTTTCCTGATCATACTGAATTTTTAGACAAATCAACTGGGACCCATTCTTCAAATGCTTTGTACGTGGTCCTTTATATAAATTCTATTTTTTTTTTCATCCAAAAGATTAGGCTTCCCAAAAATATTATTTTTGAGCCATTATTATACATGGTGTAAAAAATTACAATGTCGCATTGATAATTTTTCATCTTTACCACCATGGACATAGAAATTGTTTGTGATAATGTCTGAATTTTGTTGGAGTATATTGTGCTGTGTAAAAAAACTCTTACAAAAATCTATTTCCAGTAGCCTTCTTCAAGCGCCTATACAGGGTGTCCGCAAAGTTGGGGTTTTCCTTTTCAGAAACAACTACCCTTGAAATAAAGGAAAAAGTACTCACTCTCCAGTTGACGAGAAGGGCTAAGTACGTCTCTGCCCTAAATCATACCGCTCCAACAGAAAATGAAATCAGCTGATGCGCTACCGAGCAGACGCTGGCGGTGGTCCACGAACAGAGGTAACAAATATGACGGCGTTGCCGCGTTTTCAGTTTTTAGGTAAACGTACTTTATAGGTATTGTTCGAAGTTATCGCCGTTTGATTCGCAGGTGCGTGCACGACGTAGCCAGGCATCGGTGCAGGCTTTGAGAATGGAGTCCCTCCCCCGAATGAAAGCATCAGCTTGTTCAATTCTGAGACGAAGTTCGTCAACCGTATGCACTTCAGTTTGGAACACTAAGCGTTTCATTAATCCCCAAAGAAAAAAATCACATGGTGTTAAGTCTGGAGATCGCGGAGGCCACGCTACGGATCCATTATGTCCGATCCACCTATTCGGAAATAATTCATTCAAAAACTCACGCACTTCGCGTCTAACATGGGGCGGTGCACCATCGTGCAGAAACCACATTGATTGTCTTACACTTAATGGCACATCTTCTAACAAGGAAGGCAAAATGTTGCGTAAAAAGTCTAGGTATTGCATCCCGTCCAATCGATTTGGGAGAATAAATGGTCCAATGAGCATACCGTTCACCATGCCAGCCCATTCACCGAAAATGTTTGTTGAAAATGTGCTCGACGGACAGCGTGCGGATTTTCTACTGACCAAACATGAGTGTTGCGAAAGTTATTCACCCCATTACGCGTGAACGTAGATTCGTCTGTCACCAATATGCACTTCAAAAAGTCCGGATTATTGTCATGTTGATGCAACAACCACTTACAAAACCGCACTCTTACTAGAAAATCGTCAGGTTGAAGGGCGTGTACACGTTGGACGTGAAACGGATACAGCGCCTCTTCGCGCAGCGTTTGCCACACTTTAGTTTTTGATACTTGCACTTCTCTAGCCACGTCTCTAGTGCTTGTTGAGGGATTCTCGTGCTACGCGATTACCTCTACACGCGTGACCGTACCGGTTGAAGGTTGCATACTGACCTGACACACTGACCCCGACCCAGTTCTGTCGTCGGGTTGAGCCAGTGACCTTGTACCACTCGGGGATGTCGCGGGTCGCGGCTCCAGGACGGTATTCAGATATTTTTGATGTTGCAGAGCCCTTTATCTCGGTTCCCTTAAGACATTGGTGTATATGGTACTAAGAAAAATTGCTTATGTTTTCAAGATCTACACGTCGTGTAAAGGAAAACCCCAACTTTGCGGACACCCTGTATATTCGTAAAGTATAAACTTTTAGCATTATTTTGGGGGGACACTGTTTACTTGTGTTATTTGCAAGAATTCAATAAACATTAGTGACAGTTGGAAGTAGAAAAATAGTTTCATTTGCCAAGGCATAAAACATAGGCTATTATGGCAGCATTCCCAATATTTACCAAATTCACGATAGACAGACGTAAAATAAAACAAATTTCGAGGATAAATAATATAGTTGATTACCCTTTTATTTGTTTTGTTATTCTGCTCTTTGCAGGCTCTGTACAAGGCATTGCAAATGTTTGTGCCAAAGTGTGCAGAACTGATAAGAATCGACGAAGAAAGGAGTGTAGTTATGGTGTGCCTGGATGCTTATTCAACGCTTTTAGAAGAAGTCAAATCAGACGTTTTTGTCGGAGAAGGGCACAAAGAAGCAATAATGAATTGTGTTATCGACGTCCTGACATTAAAGGTAAGCTAGTCACAACTTCTTCAAAGGACCCCTTATGGGAAATTTCTCCCAGTTAATTTTTTCCATAATCTAAATCTTGATTACCCAAATGCCCAACTTTGCTCCCGTTTAAGATCGTATCTATTATCATTTCATCTTTGGGTCCTTGGAAACGGTAAGAGATGCTAAGTTGGTATTAATGGGAGTTATCTATAAAAAGGAACATAGAAAGTTTTGCATTTTCGGAGATGAACGAAAGAAATCTAATTTTCCTGAAATCTTTCGCTGCCTGTATTTGAGATGGGACTTCAAAATAAAAAGCACATCGCCACTTTTTCTCCTCTATAATATGACGCAATTAAAATTTCAGTATAACGTTTCTTCTGTTGTCCTCAATCATCAACTTTTTCTTGTGGACGCCAAATTAGATTTTTGCATAGTTAATTCTGATTACAAAAATGTATATTATATTACGTCATACATTGACAAACCTGTCAAAAAACTAATACTGTCTTAGTTGGCTTTGAAAATGACAATTTGCCACATATTTGCCCGGTTAAAAAACCAATGCGTGTTTAAAAGAAATTCAGATAATTTGCCTATTCATCAACTGTAACAAGCGTTATTTTAGCACGATGGAGCGCTTCACATGACACCTCAGTCATGTATTAATAGCGTGTTTATTAAACCAAAGATTGTCCTTAACATCGTCGATACCTTCTGGTGTGCCTCAAGGTTCTATATTAGGACGTATACTAGTAGTAGTAGAAAGATTTATTTAGCACATTTGGCTACATAAACAGAATAATTGTAAACAACTAGTAAATTCAAGCCATATGGTGTATGATGTAAATGCTGGGCAACCTATAATTATAGATTTAACAAGTGATTTATCAATTTTACTTTAAATTTTGTCAAAGTTTTCTGGTCTTTTACCTCTGAGTATAATTTATTATATTCAATCAACCCTTGATGGGATACAGATTTGTAGCATATTTTATACTTTTTGGTTATTAAATGGAAGTCATCTTTATTTCTGGTATTATGTAAATGATGGTCGACATTTGATGAAGTTAAATTAGTTAGACTTGATGGACATATATTATTTTTTACTTTATAAATGAATATCATTACTAGATATTTGATAAAAAATTTACATTGAGCCATTTTAATTTGCTAAGAATTTGCCTATTTGGAGTATATTTATCTTTATTCAGTATTATTCTCATGCACTTATTTTGTAAAATTTGCAGTCTTTCAAAAATGGAATTATTTGCTAGATATAGATAGTCGAACAGTACAAGAAATTTGGAAGAATGATGGTATTATAGATAATTTTTCTGCTATATTAACTCAGACATCCAGAAACTCTCGATAAATATCCCACTTTACTACTAATCTTATTTATAACTTTTTCATAATGAATATCAAAAATTAATCGAGAATCAACAAAAACCCCGAGGTATTTAAAATTTTCTACGAATTCAATATCTTCACCATCAATATTCAGTTGAACATTTGTAGATTGTTTTTTCCGATTAACAAGGCTTTCGTTTTACTTGCATTTAATTTTAGTCTGTTAGATGCTAACCATTTTGAGACAAGTTTCAAGTCTTCATTTATATAAGAGATACCAGTCTGAATATTTTTAGTACTTATATAAATCATAGTGTCATCGGCGAAAATCTGAATTTTGCATTTTTTTACTATGGCAGGTAAATCATTTATATATAAAATAAAAAGAAGTGGTCAAAGGATACTGCCCTGTGGAACACCCAACGTATTTTCAATTTTTGATGAAATAGTGTCATTAACTTTTGTAACTTGCATCCTTTTAGACAAATAATTTCTAAACCAATCTAAAACACTTCCTGTTATACCATATGCCTTCAATTTACCTAACAAAATATCTCTGTCAATCGTTTCAAATGCCCTCTTCAAATCCAAAAATACTGCTATGACAACTTCTTCTGAGTCTATGGCTCTTCTCCAATTCTCAGTTACCAACTGAAAGCTGTTTCTGTGGAATATTTTTTTCGAAAGCCTGCTTGCGCCTCCACTAAAATTTTGTTTTCTTCTATAAACAGTATTAATTGGTCATGCAGTATGGACTCTAATAATTTTTCAATGTCTGGTAACACATTTACTGGTCTCATATCACTGCATCTTTTAGAATTTTTTATTTTGGGAACTGCTGTTATTGTAGAGCATTTCAAATTTTCAGGAAAAGAACTGCTTCTCAGTGAACAATTGATCCAATTTAATACAGGATATCCCAAAATTCCGAACAGTTTTTCAGTATGTTTTTAGTGGTGATTTCGGCACAGTTGTTATTTGATTTTAAACTGTTTACTTTTTTTCTTAGATAATTCAATGATACGCTTTGAAATTTTGAAAGTGTATGCAACATTTCCCCCTGGAAACTGATTTTCATATAGTCAGGTGCAGCATTCGCAGTACCCACAATATCAACAATACTTTCCACAAAATATTCATTTAGTTTGTTTGCAATCACCAAAGAATTTGTTTCGGTACCGTTTTCGAATTGAACTTGATTTACACAATCATGCGGCTTCGAATTGATCAGTCTTTTTAAAGTCTTCCACATCTTTACACTGTCGCACTTGTTATTATCGATTTGTTTATGGTAGAATTTCATTTTTTCTTCTCTAATTACATACACACATTTA